AAATTCTATATTATTTTTAAAATAATTATATAGATCATTACTTTTTCTTTTAATTTGTTTAAAATTAAAAGAATGATTTAACATATAATTATATGTAAATTTAGCTGCATGACAACATTTTTCTTCAATAGTAGGTAACATATAATTATTATGTCCTCTCATTGTTATATAATCTCTATATATTATATATGTATAAAAGAACTGACTGTAATAGTATATACTAATTAAGTTTTTACCTTTTATTAGAAATGCCAGGTATTTTCTTTTTACCTTATATATGAATCTTACGATCACTAATCTCACAGTTAGAATAAAAAAGATATATTGACTAATAATTTTTTAAAAGATTATCATCAATATCAATTAAAAATTCTCCTGATTTGCAATAATAACATAATTAATTTTTTTGTAATCTACCAGAATAATATCCTACTTCAATTAGAGAATTACAAGTACAGTCCCTGGCGAAAAGAATGGCAGAAACATATTTTGACAGTATGTATAAACTTTATTTTAATGTATTTTTTTTTTATTATTTATAAAAACAATACTAATGACAACTTTTATATTATTAATTAATATTTGATGTGTTCTCCTTCAGCATTGATACATGCTTTAGCCTAGCTTGGCATACTTTTGATGTATCAAAGTAACATAGCATCATCAAGATCATCTCATTCCTGCCAGATTGTATTAAGAAATACATCATAGATAATATTTTTTTTTGCTACTATATACTTGATCTTTTTTTCTACCTTTCCCTTTAATATAGCCCATAGATTTTCAATAGAGTTCAAGTCTAGGCTGTATGAAGGCCAAGAAAGAACTTGTCCTAGAAGATGTTTTTCAAGTTCCCTAAACATTGTGTAAGGTGTGTTTTGGGTCATTATCTTGTTAGAAGATCTAGCTGTGTCTGTATAATATATCCGCATTGTTATACAAATGAATGTCTAAGATTTTTCAATACAAATGACGATCCAAATTTTTAGTAAACAAATGAATGCTAATTTTCCTTTAGCATTAATCGCTGCTCAAACATGAACCTTGAATGGATGCTTTACCATAGGGCAATTGGTTGTGCATTATGAGACTATACACACATGGTATTTCTAAATATCTGAAGTATTATTTCATTAGAAAAAACAACTTTTTTCCAGTTGTATCGCGAATGATCACGTGTCTAAGACAAACAAAAATCCTTTGCTTTTTAGGTCAAGAGAGGAACCTTTCTTGGAAGAATAGAAATATATCTAAGATTATTGAGCTCACGACGTATCGTACGTTTACTGACATCAAGGTTGGAATCTTTTTCTTCCAATTTTGTCTTAAGTTCGCTTGCTGTAGTAAAATGATTATGTTGCAGAATTTTTTCAATATGGCAGTGTTGATTTGAAGCTAATTTTCTTGGACGGCCAAAAGAGTGACTAATAGAAATTTTGCCAGTTTTATTTAGTAAACTGACATATAGTTCACATGTGTGCAAAGGAATGTACAATTGATTAGAAATTTCCTTTGCATTACGCACTTTTTGGTTCTAAAATGACTTAACAGAATTTCTTTGTATTTCTAAAGAGTTTGGCATAGTTTCGGAAAGGAAATCAAAATAAAAACAAATAACAAACCTTATTTTTTTAACTTACCTTTTTAATTCAGATTCTAGTGTCTGATTTGGATATATAAACAAATGCTTAAATCTGAAAAGTAGTGAATCCGCAGCTTAAAATAAATGCGAACTTCCACCGCCATTCTTTTTACTGAAGACTGTAAGTACTTGTTTTATAAACAGAAGGCCTCTAAGTGGATGATTCTAAAAAAACAAACATTCTTTACAACTATATTTTGATTGATCAATATATATATTAATTTGATCTTTTTGCTCAGAAATTAATGCTGCTATAATATATAAATATTTTGTTTTCTTATAAAAATGATAAATAATAAAAACACAAATCTTAATATTATTAAAAATACCTTTTAATGTATCTAATGCTTCAGGTTGTGCTATACAATTTAGCTGATATTTATCAGAAGTTTAAGTACTATATATTGTATTAAATTCCTTGTAAGAATTCTTATTATCTATAAATAAGAATGCTAATATCAAATATTCATTTATATGGTATAATTAAAAATATTTGAAAAACTTACTAATTGATAGTTTAGGATCAGGTAAAAAATGTAGGTTTTTGAATACTTTAAGTAGAAGCTTAATAGGCTTACAAAAATTACATATTATTACATTATATTTTTTAATCTATTAAATTTAATATAAATATGTAAGAATTTCTATAAACATATAGTTAAAATCAATTGTAATATTTTTTATTTGATTTGAAATATATATTGACGAGATTGATAATGTATCTTGAGAAATTGTTGTATGTTAAGATATTTTTTCAAATCTTGAGCTATTATATCTTCAGCAAATATTTCAGATTCAATATTATGAATAGCCTGCAAAATAAAAAGAGATGGAATTAAATAAAATAAAAATATTATTAACTAAAAAATATATTAATCTTTATCTCAAAAAAATATTTCATGTTTTCATTATTAGCAGGTAGAATATTTTTAAAATTTTGATTATGTAAAGAAAGATGAGATGTTTTATTATCTAGAAATCTTTGAATAGAATTAATAGAATTTATTAATTCATTTTTTAATTCTAGGTTATCTATTATAGCTTTTTGAATATCCTTCATTATATTTAATTTTTCAAATATATGCTTAACTTCATCACTTATTTTATCTCGTTTAAGTGTCACATTTTGCAATACTAGATTTAGAATTAACATACCGTAGAGCACTACCTAAAAGACCCCAGGTATAAATCAATTTTCCTAATTTAAAAATTGATTTATACCCGTGGGTATTTTGTAAGGAGTA